TGAGTCTAACATTTGCCCATTGTGGCTGCAGAAACACATGTCAATCAGTTTGTCATTTTTCTAGTGTCAGCTGTTGCTCTCGGCAAGTGTCATGAGCATACTGAGTTCAGTACTGTTTCAGGGCATGAGGTGCAGTCAGCAGCGACTGTGCACTCATACAACTACTACAAGGAGTCTGGCCACAGTTTCTCAAGTCCAGTCAGGCCAGCTATCATTGACATGCTGCTTTCAGCAGAGTTGCTGACAATGTTGGCAGCGTCTGCGGGCCATGCCACGCAGCAGGGTGGCATGAGAATAAGCGCACCTGTCACATCCGACTGGGACTGAAAAAGAGAACGAAAGCTATCAAAAGCCATGCATTGCCCTGATCAAAGAGTCATCAATACTCGACAGATCTCAACAGCTTTCGACAGCTGAGGTGGTGATGGAGACAGGGACATGGCATCGGATGTAACAAAGCTCACAGGCGAAACAACTGCAACGTTTCTAGTTTCTTTATATATTAGCTAGCTTTGAGATATGTTTTTTTTTTTTTTTCTGGGCGTGTACTTAAATGTAGTGGTTGGAAGTTCGACTTGAGCGATTCATACCCTCGATTCATACCTCGAATCATACCCTCGAATCATACCCCTCAAAAAGTAGGTGTAAGAATTTTGTGTTAAGGTGAAGCTTTTGGCTGGTCCTTGTGCCTGGTAGATGTGCATGAGCCAATGGTGCATGACGTTTGCAATTTTGTGACCGACAGGCACTCAATTAGGCAAAAATTGTCTGTCTTCTTGTGGGAAGAGCAAAGGCTCACATCCCAGGGGTACCAATGTTCACTGCAGTCACAAGGGCTTGGTGGGGCTTGGGCACTTGCTTCGTCTGCCCAGCAACCAACAGATACTGCTTGCCTACTGCCTCACGGCGCAGATGTGGGCCCACTGCTGGAAGTCCAGCCAATCCAACAATACAATTCCAAACCTGCGAATCATACCCTCGAATCATACCCCCAAATCATACACCGAATCATACCCTCGAATCATACCACCTAAGCTTCCCGGCCCGACTACGGTCAAAAATGCACACCAATATACGCACTCTAATATAGGGATAGCTTGGGGCCGTACGCTCCTTAGGCGACCGGGCGCCGTAACAGTACTGACCCCGAGGCAGTTAGTAGAGCGAGGAAACGCCCAGTAGTTGTTTTCAGGTGAAGGCCGAGCGAGAGAAATACCAGGAGAAAGAAAGGGCACGAAAAAAGTGAATTCGTGAAGCAAAAAAGTGGGCAAGAGCAGTGGGAACGGCTGGTGCAGGCTCGTTCAGGCTGTGTTTTTTGTTTAGGCTGCATCTAAAGCGCCCGAGCCGAAGGCGTGCAGATTGCGCGCTCCCGGGGCGAAAAGTACGACACCATAAGCCATCGCACAATTTGCGATATTGTTTTGTTTTTCCGTTTTTGTTGTTCGTAAAAATCAATCCAATGTACGAAACAATGCGAAAATCAGATGTGCGATGATGGTCGCGCAGTGTTTCCAGATTTGTCGATTTTTTTATATATTTTTTTTCATTTCTTTTCATATTTTGTTCCTCCCAAAACTTGTCAAATATTTTCATACTTCCCGAAGCTTGAGCTTTGTTTCTGACTTTGTATTCCAGGAATTCAGTGTTTTCGTATTTGTTCAAAAAAGGCGGCAATTCCTGGAAGCTTGCCGGCCCATGTATATCTCTCAATGATAGTTTTTGGGACGTGCTTTGCACCGCAGCTTCGCGTTGAAGGCTTCGCTGCGAAAGTCTTGGCGAGCTACCAGGTGATGCCTTGCCGAGTACTGCCCTGTATACACGTTTTTTTGACGGTGTTTCTTCAGTTATTGCTTCCTGCTTGTTGAGTAATTTGTTTTGCCTTGCTGCTTCCAGCTTAGTTTGCACTCCATGGTACTTGAGAAGCAGGTGTCAACTTCCCCAGAATCAAAAATGGTCCAGGAGGTCTCAAACTTGGCCACGGGCATTCCTGCTTGTTGCAAGCTGCCACAGCTGAGGTAGTCCGATACGGCGGATGTGAGTTGCACACAACATCCTCTATGCTTGGCGGTATCACTTCTCAGGAGGCCAATCCCTCTTTAGCTTTGCGTGACTTTTTGATGTTCGGAGTTGTTCAAGATAGACGCACGCTTCGACGCACTCTCTATCTCTCTAAAACAATAACACACACATACTCATCAATCAAACGCACAGCATAGTGAATTTCAGAAGCTTTGGTGGTTTCACTGCCGTGTGAAGTCCTCTTCAATGAAATCCCCAAAAATACAACATTGGTTTGGGTGCACTCACCGGACAGGGAACAACGATGTCAACACCGCAATGTGCCCTCCCTCCACACAGCACTTTTTTTGATGGTGCAGAAAGATACCATTGCTCTCACCACTCGTGATCCAAATCATTGAATGCTAGTTCAAAGTGCCTACTTGTGATCAGAAAGGCAACTTGTCTACGTGGAATTGTTATATAGGAGTTGTCAATAGTTGTCGTATATAACAATATATATAGTGTTTTATAGTGTATGTATGATCATATTATATATATGTTATATACAAGTTTTTTGGTTCGATATATTGTACATGTATTATGTATTGTGCACTACACATAATATATTGTATATTTTCACATGTATACAGTTATACAATAATATATATATATATGTAATACTATATGTATCTATATGTTATGCGTCACACGTGATGTATTTTTTGTATTGTATTTGTGTATATCACGCAAGCCAGCCGATAGGCTAGGCTGGAGTTGGGTTGGGCGAAGGAAGTGAGTGTAGGGGGTGTGGGGGGAGTTGGTCGCGCAGAGGCCAATTGGAGGGTGAGCCCAGAGCATGGTGGGGGAGAGCGAAGAAAAGTATTTGCAGTTTGGGAGTGTTTTTCGGGGTGTTGTGATGCAGGTGATGTAATTGACAGCCACTAGTGCACCACTAGCATTATGAGGGGCTCAGGAGCCAATTTAAACCGTCTTCTACCAGGAGCGGGAGTTCACGAAAGTGGCTGGAACTCCTCCATAAAAGGGCCCGGTGGCCATTGAAATAATGTTTGACCAGGGGTGAAAGGGAGGTGTATGTGTCTTTTAAGACGCTGCGTGATCTGTGAGGGAGAATGCAGCGGGCAAGCTTTGAGTTGCTTGGGGGCGCCTTTTTAATACTGTCAACCATTCGCAAAGATATGGGGTGGGAGCTCATGTGGAAGACATGCGTAGCGGAGGAGGACGTGGTTGGCAAAGACCGATCGCAAGAAATCCTT